ACTAAGGCGACAGTGGCGCCGCCGTGCGGTCAACCCCCTCCCTATTCCGTCCCGGCTACAAAGGACACCCTGGAACGATGCCGTAAGACAATATTTGCTGTCTTTATTACCAAAATTGCTGTTTACCGCTGTTGCATAAATGAAATTATGTACCGATAACAATTTGGTGTGATAATTTAAATTAATCTCCTGTTATGAATTGTGTAAATATCGATTGGCCAGGAATATTGATGTGCGTTTCTCAGAAGGTGAAAGTATATAAAATGTTTGAAAGTCGATTTGTTCAGTTATTGTTTATGTGTAGATGATTACGTTTTTTTATCACTGACAGTGTAATTTTAGATATACGTTAACAAATCGTTATTATTAATTGATTTTTTATTAAAGATTAATTCGTCATCGTCGTCCAGAAGCAATTTAAACGATGATCTTTTATATCTTACTTTTTAATGAACCAACCGATGATTCATTATTTCGCTGATGTAATGTTTAATTTAGATACACGTATACATAGAGTAATACTTCATTCGTGCTAGATGTTTTGAAATAAACGTTCACATATCTAAATTTCGAGATAATTGCAGATTAATATCAGTATTACGTTAATTTATCGGTACTTGAAAATGTTCCAATAATATTATTGCAAGCGAGAAAAAATACAATAATCATACAGATAAATTTATTTCAAGATTCTTAATGTGTTTAATCGCACTTTATATAATTGCTGTTTCAGTTATTGCACAGAAACATTTGATTATAAGCGCTCTGAATAATTTCAAAGTATTTCATACAAAAAGACCAGAACTCCATAATTTATTTGGATATAATTCTTTTACAATATAACTACGACAAGAATAGAGGAAAAATTACCTAATGATGGATATCTTATTTTAAAAAATTGAAAATAAAAATACTAGATCGTTTTCTGATTTCTTGAAGAAAAACAAGCATGGACCTAAGTCGTTTTTCTTATAAGCTCTTCAGTTAACAAAAGCTCGTGGGCATTCTTTGCGCGTAGAATTACTTCTACCAATTCGGCCAATTCGTGTACAATTCGAAAAGGAGAAGTAACCACGGAGTAGGTAAATTTTGCAAGGAAAATCGCGGATTTCTGCGATAAGGAAAGGAATTAGAAAACAGACGGCGTGTTCATTCCATTTAAGACGCGCTGAACAAACCGAGAAACACACGTCCATATCGCAAACGAACGCGTTACTTTCTAACCCAAACAGCCAAAAACCGACAATATTATCGTCAAACAAACTTTATCCAGCCGGTCAGACTGACCCGTCTTCTATGGAACCCATTTAAGCTGTACTTATCTTATTCTTTTCCTCTCTCTTTTCGATTTTCCGCAAAGATAGTCAGGGAACATGGGTCCATTCGGCGATTCGTTGTTTTCAAGAATGGAGCTTTTCATGAGAGAAAGAGAGACAGAGGTTTGCGTGGGTACGGAGAAACCAAATGAAACGGCAGGGCTGGTAATTGTGCGGTGAAAAAATAATCAGCTGGCGCAGCACGTAGAGCGTAACCGTAAGTGCGGCTGTGCTCATTGTTGTCCCGCTACTACGAAACCCCACGAGGGTGACAAGCTTACAAAAGGGGCTGCTGGACCTATAGAAACGTGATGGGAGGTAGCTCGTGCAAGAGGGTGCCACCGTTGCGATAAAACTCTATAGTGCTCCGGGAAAATATGAGTGACTCGTCGACTGAGAAACGAGAGGACAAAAGATTTCTCGTTCTCGTTGTTGTTGTAAGTTAATTCTTTTCTATAACCTATAGTTTTAGAATTTTACGTCAATGGTTTTGGCATAGACACTATATAAGGTCTGAGTAAAATATCGTTATTCGAAGACGTATGCGCGAAGCTTTCTAGTTTTGTTCGAAATTTAAAGTAAATGGATTATTTTTTCGATTATTATATATTATTTGAGGCTGATCATTTTTCTAACAGCATTTAAAATAGTTCACAAGCTTTCACGGAATTTTTGCAAATTACCGTGACGTAATTGAGAATTTGATCTGTTCCGAGACGACCGACGAAAGTTGCGAGCAAAGGGGAAGTGATTCCAGAAGACCTCTTTGTTGTTAGCACTTTGCGTGCAAAACGGAAGGAAAAAAAAGGAAAGGAAAGGGAGTCTGGAGTAAAGGAGGGTCTCTTTTCGCACATCCCTCATGAGAAACAATAATGTCGCGCGCACTAACACTCCTCCGAGATGTCGTCTACCCTCTTCTCGTCTTTGTTTGTCTGGCTTTTTCGAGTACTCGTTCTCCTATCCACGGCCACCTACACACCACTTTCCTTCAGCTACTGATCAGGATGAAAAGAATTGCACGCGAATAGCGAGCGCGAAGAACCGCGTCTCGCTGGAAAGCTATAGAAGAAACGAAGAAACGGAAGTTTTGTTGCTTGTTTCGCGTTCCCTTCCGTTCTTTCGCGTGGAACGGCAAAGTGATGAAACTTCAAACAGTATAGTGTATACCGTATTGTCCTGCACGCTTTTCAAACTTTCCAAAGAATTCGTGATAAGAGAAATGGTTGAAATGAAGAAAAATAAATGAAAGAATACCATGTTTGTTCGATGGTACAGCGTCACCTCTAATTTGACGTCGTAATGTTGACAAAGCGAAAGAGAAACAAAATTGTTAGAAAAACTTACCGGAATGTAGCCGTCGGGTTGAGGTCTCTCGTTGTCCCTGAAGAAAATTGCTTAATTACAATCAAGCATCCACGAGTTTCGGAATTCACGTTCGATTATCGACATGAAACGTACCGATGTCGTCGTTGTATCACCGGTGTCTGCGGAGTGCTGTCGTGGATGATCACTTGGGTGGCGTCTATCTCTTCGCATTCTGAACTCTCTTCTGCCGAATCTACACAGACAATATATCAAATATATCTATCATTCGTCGTACTTTGTACGTCGATATTTCACAAACATTGCAATTGCCTTTCACGAGGCAGATCTGAAACTATCTTCTTCAATATCCCTGACAATTACGAACGATCTCCAGCTACGGTTGGCTACCCGCTAACCCAAATTTCTTTTCAGCAGGGGAATTACAATCATCCGAATGTGTTCGTACCAACTACTCTCTAATCCTATCAGTTGCCCTTTAAATAGTATACGTATCTGTGTGCACGGGCTTATCCACGATTCAGCACCCATCCATCGAGCTTACCGCAATTCCCAAAAGGATGGATGCTATTGCTTCTCTTCAAAGGGACAACGTTCTCTCGTTAACAACCCTAGTCTCAAACTGCTCTAAACTCTACACCGACCGTATCCGGCACACAATCGGTAATTCAAATAACAGTCGTTCGCGTACGTCTACGGTCGAACCTAAATCGTGTTACATTCATTCAGAACTCACCCTCGCCGATGCGTTCGCGTTTACGAATTCGAGACAAGACAGGGCTTGGACACAAGGTGGTCGCGTCGCCCAATAAATCGTCGATGTTGGTGTGCTGGCCGATGAACAATGGTAACGTGGAAGGTCGTTTCCTTGGCGACGATTTTCGGGGTGTCGACTGAACATTGTCGTAAGGCGAATCGCGTCCGCCATAGTTGTCAGGCGGATCTGGAGGATTCTCCACCTGCAAAATACATAGGCTTATTTGAAATAAAATAAAGTAACATTTAATTCGTGAATGGTAATTGAATATTTCCCAGCTATTTTGTCTGATAATTTGATTTTACTTTAGTTAAAATGCCCTCGAAGTTATTGTTGAAGCGAATTTAGGAAATTGGTATATTATCAGTGGCTTCGATCATGAAAGTGTTCATCTTTTGGAAAATGTTAACGAGAATATTAGCAATTATAATTAACAAGATACTTAACATTAAAGTATATATAAAGAAAAGAAAGGAAAAGATTATTTACGAATGTATACAATATTACATTAGACGGAAGAAATTCACACGATAATTTAATGCGCATATCCTAAATACGGCACAATGTAAGAACAATTTTCACACATTATCCTTTTTAGAGCCTCTCACGGAAGTCATTTGATTTCTTAATCAAAGGATCAATTAAGTTAAAGACTTCATTCTCTCATCGATGTAAGGCACGCAACGTTAAAGATTTACGACGTAGCGTATTATCGAGTTCTATATCTATAGCATCGTCAGTTAGGGGACCGTTAAATGAATAATATACGATATATGATCAGTTTACCCCTTCAGGACTGGCACGATCCCCAAGCGGCTCATCGGGCGGCGGTGGCGGAAACTCGATAGGGAATCTAGAAAGGTTTCTCTTCGCGTATATCTCAGGTTCAGGGTTAACGCCAATATCGATTTTCTCGAACGATTCGGAGGAATCGGAGGTGCTGTTCGACGTTTCTATAGGAATCTTAACGACACCGTCAGGAACGTTTGACGAGCTATCCATCCACCATGGTTTCTCACCAGACTCGATGTGCCTGACTTTATTTATACTTCTGTTGTACGTTTGACTGTCGTCCACTTCATCATTGTAGATATTATTTTTTTGCGTAGGCGTTGTAGCGACAGGAATGACTTCGACTCCTTCAGGTACGTTCTCAGGATTGTCGTTCATCCACCATGCTTGTTCGCCGGATTGCTGGTGCCTGAGTCGATTTCTTCGTTCGTTGGACCGAGTACTGGAACGACTCGACTCTCGTTTCGAAACAGGAGACGCCATAGACGATTGCTTCTTCGATTCCTCCGACGGAACACTATCGTTTGCATCCAACCACCAAGCTCTTTCCCCCGATTCTTGTCTCCATATCGTCGGTCGCGACAGTTTTTTGGCATCATCCGAAAGGACGCTGTCATTTCCGTCTAACCAACGACCCCTATCTCCCGAATCGTGCTTTAAAACTGTTGCGGAAGATTGTCTCTGCGTTTCTTCCGACGGGACGTTATCATTGGAATCTAGCCACCAAGCCTTCTCTCCTGATTCTTGTCTTAAAATCGTTGTCGACTGTTTCCTCGCATCTTCCGCGCTGTCGTTTGAATCTAACCACCAAGCTCGTTCCTCTGATTCTTGTCTCCACACTTTGTATTTAAATTTGCCTGGGAACATACAATTAGGGGAAGTGGTTTATCTACGCGAATCGCACTAACTATGTTTTTGCTTTCGAAGCTGAGAAGATCGAATTATACGTTGAAAAATGATTTACAGAGGGAGAAATAAGACGTTTTGGAGTACACGAACTATTTACGATGTAATAATTTACGATGTTTGCGAAAATATGTAATGCCTCTAAGGTAGAAACAATAAGTTACGTCTTCTCTTTTGTAAAGGAACAACTTAAAAATTCAATTTGCTGTCCACCAATTCCACATCTCTGTATTTGATTTTGCATTTCTTTAGCTATTTAATAACTACTTAATATGTTAATATATTTTGTTTAATAACTAAATAACGTAAAAGTAGGCAATTCAACAGAAATAAACTTGTTATATTTTTCCCGCGTGGTTATGTTTATTATATTTTGATATAATTATATTTTTCCCTCGCTAATTATGAACGCGGGTTCTTAGTAGCTTTTCCAATACGACCTGAGGTGAAAAGGAAACTTTAGAAAATGTGTGTTATCTTTCTTCACTCGCTTGTAACATTTATAAAATCCTCAAACTTGCAACGGAAGTTAAAAACGAACGTTTAGACGAAGTTTCGAATGAACCGCCCGTCTCTTTTTTTCTTTTGAAATCGTAATAATATATTACATTCTGAAAGCTCTTTCTCATAAGATTCGGAATAGTATGTGTAAGCACGTAAACACTATATGTCAGATAAATATAGCTTCCATCCAATTTCTCAAACCAAATCCCTCGTTTACGCGTATCAAAATAAAAAACCACATTTAACCGAAAATTTATTTCAAATGTAAAATTTGGAAACGCTAACTTACCATCGTCAGGTAAGGTACTACTGACGGTCGTTTCTTGACTGATATCTTCGTTGCACACGCTTCCCGTTTCGACGCCTTCAGGAACATTGTCGGAGTTCGGATCCATCCACCACGGTTGCTCCCCGGAAAAATTCCGCCTGATCCTCACGCTAGAATGTCTCTTGTCGTCGTTCTTCTCCGAGTTCGTGAAACTGAAGCTCTTCGATAGACTCCTCGATAAAGCGATCGTACCGTTTTGCTCTGACTTCTTCGCGTCCGTGCTCTCCTCGTTGGAATCCAGCCAACCACCTGATTTACCCGACTCGCTGGAATCTTGATGCTTATTCTTGAAAAGATTCGTCACTGGTGCGAGGGCCCTCATCAGGAATGATTTAGCCTCCTCCGTTTTCCCTGAACGATCGCTTTTCGATCTGGGACTAGACGGCGGTCTGGGCGGTTTGTCCATCGTCAAAGACATTTCGTCGGTGGATGACGCCAAAACGCTCGTCCTCGACGACCCTGCGCTTATCTTCCCTTTTTTCTCGCAGAAAGGAGATTTTGACGTTCTCCTTTTACGACGTCTCGATCCTGGTCTTGTCTGTTTATTATCGTCTTCCTCCTCGCTGCTCGACGAATTCGATGAATTCGACTCGCTAACGCCGCTGGAACTCGAGCTTCCGTCTTGCTTGCTTCTCTTCCCGGAAGGAGATTTCGAGCTGCTCCTCGAATTTTCCGGCCTCAACGAACTAGTCGACTCGCTTTTCCTACCGATGCTCTTCGACGACGTACCGGATGATGGCATTCTCAGCCTCGATCTATTCGATTTCACGGAACTCGAGCTCGATTCCGAGGGGGCAGCTGGACGATGGATATTCGGTTCGGAGTTCGGTTCGGACTGCGAATCTTGAGAGCTGACGGACATGCTTCGTTGATTCTTCTTCTTCCTGCTGTACTTTGACTGCGACGGGTCGCCATTCTCCATGTTTAACGTCGACTTTCGAAAATCCTTGTTCACGTACTTAACTGGCACGATGCTCTTAGATGCGGACACCGATGTGGCATCGCTCTTCGGTACAGGTGGTTTGCCACGAGCATCCGGTGATCCGCCCTGCCTCAGATTCACTGAAGAGACGGTCGATGCGGAAGATTTCCCTGGCGATGGTGGCGGCGTCGCCTTTATTTTTGCACCCTGACTCGTCACCGAACTGGCTGACGTCGATTTCGATCTGCCAATTGGCACATTTACAGCGGATCCTTCCGACGAATCGGTCCGTGTCATTTGGCGGCAGAGATTTTTCGTAGAGCCGCTTCGCGACTGGGGTGTTGTGGATCGGCTTTGGGACGAATTGCTATTTAATCGGAAAAATAAGAAGAAGCGTTTCAGAAAGTGGAAATAGTGTATTTTTAGGTGTAACGGAGAGGAATCAAAGAAGCAGAATTGATTTGTGCAAGACTTGGTCGCCTAAAGTCAACAAAAATAAATCTTCTACGTCGTTTGGCTTCTGATATCGTTACGTTGATTCTGCTTTTCCGTGGAAATTTGCCTCAATTGTGTACGATAATATCGAGAAAGAAATCTATATATAATATTAGAGAAATATCTTGAATGACCAATTAATTTTGGCATCCTCGCTCAAACTTGGAACCGTGTAAACTATTTTCGTTGACATTAAGAATACAAAATATTTCGAGAAAACTTTTTCACTTTCCTACTATTTATTTGACAATATCGAAACATATCATCGGTATGAAAAATTGAAAATATTTCGAAACGAATAAATTTGAAACGATGTTACGTATTGTAAAAATGTTGTGTCCTATTGTAATCGTTTGAAAAATTGAACAACTACCTTTGGAAAGAATCTTTCGTAGAAGAAACACTATCGCTTTTAGACGCGGAGACTTCTTTACTCTGTCCTTGGCAGTGACCCTCGACTATCCTAGAAGATTCATCTAGTTTCGATAACGAGCTAGTGTCAGATTTAGGTGTCGAGCTCCTTCTTTCCCGCAATCCATCGGACTTAGTCGACGAACTCGATGATGACTTCGTAACCTTGCCTTCGTTCTTCATTGCGATACGACCTAATCTCGGTATCGATGGTCTTCTCTGGCTGCTATCCTCGCTCTTCGACGTCGAACTTTCTCTACTACTTTGCTGTTCTTCGCTCTTGGAAGTATTTTCGCGGGAATCTGGCGACTTGACAACACCAGGCTGGTGCGGTGAGTTGTCTCTCTTTAAAACCGAAGGATTCGCTAAACGACTGGTTTTCACTTCGATCTTGCCGACGCTACATGGACGAACCTCGCCATTGTGCGTTTTAACCTCCGTCTGATTGGAATTACTTGGATCGTTACCCGTAGACGCTTTCGAATCCGTTTTCGTGACCGCGAAACCTAAACCGCCGAACGCTTTAGTACTCTGTTCATTTTGGTTCCTATTACCGTGGATTTCTTGACTAGAACTAGGCGATAATTTTGAAGTCGAGTCGTTTCTCGAAGCGTCGTTCGATCTCGAGAACGCGAAGCTATTTACTCTGGAGTTGGTCGTACCTCCGTTAAATCCTCTGGCGTACACGCCACTTCCGCTCGAATTCGAGGAAAATTTGTCCAAATACGTTGACCACGGAGTCCCCGAGATTCGTCCACCGCCTCCGAATCGCGAAAATCTCGAAGCATCCTCGAGCCTTTCGCTCTGAACTTCTTGATTCTTCGTCTCCGTTTTCTTTCGAACTCGCGCGACTTCCCTTTGATTCGCGATGCCTATGTCGGCTCTTCTGCTCCTCACAAAGGACGAAGAAGCCGGTAGACTGGGCGACGTACCTCTCGTAACCATTGTAACGGTCTCATTGTCCTGAAGTCTGTTGTCGACTTTTAATTCTTCCGATTTAACAGGAGTGGAACGTTTTTCTTGAGTCGCGTTCCTTTCCACGTTGGATTTAACGGTGTCTTCGTCCTTTAAATTTGCCGGCATAGGCTTACTGCCTGAAGTTCGGAACCTGTCCGATCCGGAGTAGCTTATGGCTGCCGGTATTCGGTCGTTGCTGCTTCTCGATGAAAGGAACCTGCTACCAGCTGTCGAGCCGAATCTCGAGGAGATTGGCGCCGAGCTCGATTCGGAGGCACCTGCAAATGTTTTCGTACGTTGAGAATCGTTCGTTGAGCAAAATATATTTCTCTTAACTGCTAACATTACTAATACATATATAAGAGGGACCATGATCTTTTTAGTATTTAAAATTATGTGTTTTAATCGCAATGCTTGATTCTAAATGATCAGAATAAAGATAGAGACTTTAAATATAGCCTTAAGTATGATCTTGAGCGGAAAATTAATTTTGAACAAATCAGTTCCATTTCTCGCGAGATACATTGTTTTCAAATGCGAAAATCTATAGCCATAAATATCGCGTGAAAAGCTTCTCATTCCGTTTTAAGAACTACTACTTACCGATTCTTGTCGTGTTTCTGCCAATATCGTAGTTCTATAAATTTAGAATTCGCGTAAACAAACGTTCTTCGACGATTAAAGAACGACAAAACTGCGGCAAAAATGAATTTAAATGACACTCTGTTCTCGTAATAGAAATTTTATTATTTCCACGTTATAAGACGAGCATTCGAACAATCACCGGGTATAAATTTGGTTTCGTATAATAGCACTGTATATGTACGCATATATTTTATCATACAATAGCATTACATGTATACGTATACAGAATGAGTCATCTAAGACTGGAAATATCAAAACTGTTACTTATACGATACAATGCTCCGTTTGAAATCGTTCGACTCTTGTCCGAACCATTTTTCGATATAATTAACGGTTTCGAAAATATTTCAGGTTCTCGTCTTAGATCATTCATCTGTAACTAATGTTACTGTATTTGCTTGCTCTAAACACAGAAAATAATATCATCGTAGTAATAATAAAATTTATATAAAAACCAAGAATATTCCGCCACAGAACTTTCTCCGAAAGTCATTCTTTTTCCATTCCCAACTTGAATAATAAAATCCAATTTCTAACAAAATGTAAGGAAAAAAGAGGAAATTCACTCACTAGAAGTGGCACTGGATCGACCGTAGGATGGGGCTCTCGAATACATTCTGAAGGAGTTCGATTTTCCGACGTTGACTTCCGGGCTAGGTTCGCGTGAACTTCTCCCAGAGTTCGGCCGTAATCCACGGTAGGAAACCGGCGGATGATCGGACCTCTCTTTCTTCTCGATTCTACTTTCGTTTCCATAAGTTCGAGCCAAGCTCGATCCGGGATACGTGTTGGATCCGTATCGCGATACTCCGTCTGGCTCTCTGCTCTTCTCGCGGGAAGTGGCACGGTTATATCTGTCCAAAACGGAGGCGGGCCTCTCTGAAGCTTTAGTAGCTGGAAACGAGTACTTCTCGAACAGTGAGGATCTGCTGCTCGATAATGGACTTTTCGCCCCTACGTCCTCCGTCGACGACCTACTGGGATGCAGTCTGTTTTTGTCCGCGTCCTTGTTAGCTGAAAAACCATCGACCTGTGATTCTTTATTTTCTAACTTTTCTTTATTCAATTATTTAACACGCGAAATATCGGCGACTGAAATACAAAACCTATTTCAAAAAAACAAAAAAAAAAATTTTAATGAAAGTACATATATGAAAAAATACGTACACAATATAAGGAAATAAACAAGTTTCTATCCGTGTGTTAGGTCGTTACGTAAATTCGCGTTCTATTTTTGTATTTATTATATAAACTCGGGAAACATCGAACGAATATATATTATAGATTAACATTTTAGAAAAAAATTACTCGAACGTATGGTTGTAAATCTAAATGTCTATGGAAAGTCACGCAGATTTATTTTATTTATCGTTCATAGTAGGATAGAGAAAAAGTATATTAGCAACAATACTAAAATCGCTCTCTCAATTACCATAATAATGGCCAACAAATGCCAAGAACCTGAAACGATAAAGCGAAGACCGATACACGTCATAACGAGCATATCCAAAGCAACTTACTCGAATACTTAAAGGTAGGTTTCTCCTCGAACTTGTCTTTCTTTAGGAACGCGTTTCCGAAGCCAGAAACCCTCTCCTTGCCGTGCACTCGGCTGGAACCGGAACCGATGGACGACGAGTAGCTGTTCCTGCAACCCGGAAGACCGCTGCCAGTCGACGTGGTCGTTCTTCCAAATGTACCCGCGGCGATGCCAATATTGCCTCTGGGTCGGTAGGCGCCAGTGTCACCCTGGAAATCGTGAATCGTTCAGTTCTCTGTGAATGCTCGTGATCTCGTTGCATTTATCCACGGCACCGTTATACGAACGACAACAACGACGGCGACGATCGATCGAAGGCGATGAAAAAGCGGGCCGAATGCTTGAAACGTCGCCGGTTCGATCGACTGTTCCACGAGCCGGGGAACAATCGGACTACGGCGAACTTGGTGCCGCTTGCGAAGTAAAATTACCGATCGAGATTGGTCGGCAAACGGCTCGATTTCTTTTTCACGACAGATTTATGCGTCGCCGTACGTCGCCGCGATAGAATCGCGTGTCACCGTGCGTTTTATTGCTGAACTGCGTGCCATCGATTACCCGACTGGTAAACAGTGAAGTATTGTGAATGACAATGGAGCGGCGTGCGTAACACGTGCGATTCTTTTTCAGAAAACGGAAAAAGGACAGTTTATCTTGTAATGGTAATTTTTTCTTTAATTGCAACATTCACATCTCTTGAGATACAAATAAATGCAGATACCGGAGGTAAATGTTAGAAAGATATAGATATTAGATATAGATATTGAAAAATGTAAATATGAAAAGCGTGTAGAATACACGTGAGACGCGGTCGTAAAAATTTGAATGACAATCGTAATATGTAGATCATGTTTCGCGGAATATGAACAAATACAATGAAAGAATTTAACAGGGGAAATACAACTGTAAAGTCTACCTCGAGTGAGTAATGGTATTAAAAACACTGCATTCTGAGTTGTGAATAGCCAAACATCTGATGAAGAATATCTACAGAATATCTAAAGAACATCTTACAGAGAAAGAACATGTTTAAGTAACCCGAATGAGGATAATATACATCATGCACGGATGGCCGAATTCAAGAAATGAAAATTCGTACAATTAACATAAATTTGGCGAATTGCCCTAAGCTTGAAATAGATGGCCCGACCTAACCGGGAGGAATAACCTTCCTGTTTCTCTGTCGTATAACGGGTGAGTCAATAATCGCATCCTTTTTTACCATTTAAACTTTGTATACAAATGGTTAAACGCAAACCTGTTATTCTTACTTCTTCAAAAGTAATCAGAATCATTCTACGTACTGATCGAAGCATCGTAGCTAATTGTGCACAACATAGCCAAGATAAATTTTTTATAGCTTCATATTCTTCATTTATCAAACTGAGATTCTTTAGATTACACTTGCGTATGTCTCGAGGCATAGAAAGGCAACATAATAGAAATAAGTATAAAGTTTGACAAATAATTTCAATGGTTTCGTTTGACGCTGATAGCGAATATCGATAATCGTTTCATAAACAGAAAGAATATAGTTTCGAGAACTCGCAAACTCATCGTCAGAATGACTCGTTACCTGTTGTTGAAATCTTTTTACCAATACAAACCTGTTTGTTTAACTGGAAATATCTCATATCCTTCGAGCTTCTACGATACTCAAATCACATGACTCGAAGTCCTTCGAGCTCAATAACTATTCTGAACAAGATTCATACGGAAGTTTAAGATCGATTCATGATCGATTCATTTATCTGTAACGCGTTTCGCATGTACGAAACATTCCGCATTCACGAAGTTGAAAGAAAGTAATTTTCCACCACACGATTCTCGTATTGTTCGTATTTCTTAAAATTTTCATTTTAGACGAACCAACGAACCACGTGCAGGAGTCGTTGAACGGAGCATCTAAACGTTGCTAGATGTTTCCGTAATTAAAACTCGTTCGCGTAATTAATTATTCCTTGTCCGAGCCCGCAGGTATGGACCGATGTTTATTTTTCGTACAGTTTACAAGTTTGCGTTTACGTGGAGTCCGCGCAACCTCGACTCGAGCGAGCTTACGCGATACCACCCGCGCGATCATAATTTCAATTTAAATTCAATTACATTCTAAAGCTCCGACATCTTGCGCTATCGCGTTCAGATGAGATCCCCTCTGAAAGAGAATGAGAAAGGGGTGAGGGGAGCCTTCGTGCTCGAACTTTTAAAAAGTGCCGTTCGTTATTATGCTAATGCTATTCGGGGGGGAGTGATAATGGAATTACAACGGACGCTCCTTAAGACCGCTAAACCGATTCTTTTCAGCGGAAGTGTCGAAAACGGCCGGAAACGATAACTCCTTTCGATTCGTTCGTATCTGCCTTATTATCGCGTCTCCGGCTTTTTCGCTTGCGGTCCCCTGTTGCTAATACCGAGTATTCTAAGTCTCGTTTACGAAAAAGAAGCTATGATTACCTTCTATCGATTATTTCTCCTGTTAACGTTAGATACCTGATGTACAGTGGCTACAAAAAGTATTTGTACAACACCGTATTTATTATAGCATTTATATATCAATTAATTAAGTTCAAGTACAATAACTTATCTTTCTTTTATAGCCTCGTGTTTCTTCGATTTGCTATTGCAAAATAATACTGGAATTGATCTCTGATGTAACATAGCCATATCTTAAATTCATTATTAATCTTACAGTTGTTTAACTTCAAATTGTTTCATTTTATTCTATAATAATAAATTAGAATCGATAATGAACGAGCTTCGAGATCTATTCGTGAATAAATAAACGTAACTGAGAGATATTCAATGCATTCTAAAACACGGTATCAAAATTCCATCGATACATATTTATTACTAACGAAACCTTGCAAGATGAAACATCAATTTCTTACGTGGCAGCAGTTCATTAGCTATCTTAAAATGCCGGTCGTGTACGGTTCCAGGGCTGCGCCTCGTTGCCGAACTTCGATATTAGTTCAAGAAGTCACCATAAACATTTTGGCAAGCAGCCTCGACGGTCTTTGGCTAAATTCAGAAGGCAAAGGTTTGCCAAGAAGTCGAACGAGAACCTGTTACGACGTCCATTATCGGCTTTACCGTGGTTTTACTGGACGATCGCAAGGTGAAGCAAGAAATCGCGAGCACCTTGTTTCACCGGACACGGTGAAATTTTTATGAAATTTTTTCGACGTGCTCGACCAACTGTGGAAATTTATTTTCGCAATGCTCATTCCTCCCTTGACGAACCTTTACGATACATAACAATTTCGAAAGCTGATTGTTCCATGAAAAACTTGCGATCTTTCTCTTTCTGCGATGTTAAATTCCTGCATTTTATTAGGTTCACAGATTAGTATAATATTATTGCCTTATCAAAGGATTCTTCGTTGTAATAAATTTTCTAATGCTTAGTAATGCAGGATTTTTTCTGAAAAATTCACTGTTTTTCGTTGTTTCCGTATTTTTGACGAAAGCAAATACAAATGGTATATTCTTTGAAGTTGGAAGGTAATAAATATTCTTTTTTGATAGATATTGCCCGGAATGTAAAATCTCTCTTTTTCATGCTCGAATACGAGGAAATGTTGACGTATACGGAGAACGAAGCAATATTGATCAATTTGTGTGTGAAGCACGCCCTGTCAGAGCGGATACGACAATACTGCAAAAATATTAAAAAAATTCTTATATAATTCTAAATATGTTTATAATTCCTGCAGGAGAAATAAAAATATGCAACCACCGTGCAATACACTGTCATAATTTACAGATTAAACAGATATTGCATAGTCACAGATAATAAATAATTACATTTAATATTACAATATAAGACGCGAATTATTCATATCCTTAATCTTCGATTAAATGATTTATGAAGTGATTCACTGATCGTTATTGTATCTGATCGTATTCTTATTGTAAGACAAAACAAGTTATGTAACTACGCTTCGTTTAAATCCACGCCTTTCCTAATCCGCCTACTATTTCTTAACCTCGTCCCATAATAGAAAAGTTCATTTCAACCTTGTCTTCTCGAAGCAAATGATCGACAGCCACCTATCAATCGACTTTTGCAAATCACCGTGAAATACAGCTTTTGCTGTCAAACAGGCTTAGAGATCGATTCCTATGCCGAAAATATTCGAGGACATTGGCGAAATATGCGGCTAATATCTACACCACGTTTAATGCTAAAAATTTCAAGCGCCACCGGCCACGACGACGCGATTTGTCCTTGTCAGAAACTTTGAAGCATAGAAACGATAAAGAACCGAGTGGGACCACATTACGCACGCGACAAGCCTCTATTTTCATTTACGAGGTTTCTGGAAATTCCCCGGGAACTACTTGGGAATTCGTTGGATTTCCGTCGAGAAGGGAAAAATAAACGAAAAAGTGGTAGAGAACGGTCGATGTGGAGTGACCGGAATGGAGAAAAATCCGAAAGATAGAACGTACGAAAAAGTAGATGAGTTTCGGTGTGACAGGAATGATAATTCGAGATCTCTTTACGAATGAACGATTTTTTCGAAAGACTGAGACGATCGACGGAATGAAGCAGAAGAGTAAAAAATACCAGGCAAGACGTAAAAACCTTTTAATGAAAGAAAATGAAAGTGGATGAAAATTGTAAAACGTGGAAAATTGATACGAATGGCGTTCGTAGAATTTGCACGGAAAATCGATGAAAATCAAGCGAAAATCGAGCGGCAAAATCGTTCTCATCCAATTTGTCCAAGATCGATAAACGATCCATCGATAGTCACCGTCCATCAACTAATCCATCAGAGCAGCTACATTCTGTCTCTCTCCCTTGACGGAAATCCAGGGTTTCCTACCGTCAATTTAGCCTTCTCGATATTTCGTCGGCGTGGCGAAAAGCTTTCCATTGGGCTGGTCGAATTGAAAGCAGCTCGACCGGGAAATCTTTCGATATTGCTTTATCGTCCATAAAAATGGCTGTTTACAGCTTGGCCATCCCTACTCAAACCCTGCGCGCCAGCTTTCTACCCTTGATCCCGCTTTATCGATAGATAAATCGTACGGCCGCGAAACGATCGTTTCTCACGCGTCGTTTTACCGCCAAAGGCCGACTTTTGTTTCGTGTAATTGAATATTTGTATTTTAATATAGTTAAAGTTGCTAGTTTAAAGGAAAACCACGTATCGATAGACGATTCGTTTAATGCGACAAGGATTGATTGGCAGAGTTT